GGACTTTCATTTCGTATGAAAGTGCATAAAGTAGAGATTCGTAGGTTGATCTCACCAAAAGGAATAATATTGAAATGGAGGTGACCCCTCATTATGACCATATAATACTGCCAAAAAAAGATTGTCATCTTAGTAGGGTTTCTAGATATCTCTGTTGTAGTAATCTAATCGTAATAATAGCCGACAAAGGTGGAGCAGTGGTAGTCATGAATAAGTCAAGTTTACAGGAATGAGATTAAGCTCTTATGATGCCTATTATATGATAGAAGAAATCTCAGCCCGTTTTCACCTAAAACAAGGTAGGAGGGTCTCATAGACTGCGTCAACCTGAACGTCGTATAAAAGCCTTTTCTGGAGAGATCGACCTACGAATATTTTCATTATGCGATTTCATACGAAATGAAAGTCCCCCCAACAATGTTATCTTATGAGAAAAGATACATGTGCAAGTTTGATCAAATAATAGCTAAATATATATATATATATATATAAAGAGAGTTTCGGTGAAACTCATGAGAAAACATATTCCGAACATCATTAGGATTTAAATTCATTCTGGCAAAAGACTCAAATCTTAATTAGATCAAACTATGAATCTCTTCATCATACATTTTCATAATAAATGAAAGTGTCTACAACAAATATATCAGATAGTTCACTCGTCCGTGAATCAAATGGCTACAAGAGACGTAGTAAAAAATGCCATATCTAGGTACAGTGTGTGGCATGTTAATTGTTTTTTAACAAAGATTTTAACTTGCCTAGCAGGCGTATTAAAAAACTAAATGCAAGTAATGGGCAAACTATTTTACAGCCGTTTTTGCATGGTTGTGCTCAGGCTAAATTCCTAAGATCAAAACATAAATGAAGATATATCTGCTTAGCTCCACTAGTGCCCAAAATGTGTTTTAAGAAAGCACTACATCTCCTTTGTGGTACTGGAGATAATTCTCCTACAAATTCATCAGGAAGCAAGATTATTAGATACAGTAGATTTTGTGGTAGAAAAAATGAATTACTGATGTACAAAATAGTGAATAAATCACTTATAAAATATATAATTCTGCAAGGAAAAATGATGGTGATATAGCAGAGGCCTTTGAAATTAAGTGATTAAAGAAGCTGGAAACCTGGTCTTGCTGTCAGGGAGACTTAGCAAAACGCTCCTAGCCCGAAGTCGTCCGCAATAGTAGTTGTCATGATTCCTAGCATCTGACAGTGGACTTGATACATTCTCAAAGGTTTCGCCCGCATCGTAGTCGGCATCATCAGTGGGCTTTGCCATTCTCCGTACCAAGATACAAACTCGTCAATCCCTCGACAACTGTTCTGTCGAAAACGGTTACACTATCACTCCTCTTTCTGTCATTGTCTATCTATCTACGCTTTACCCTGTTATCCCACTGCTGTCCTATCACAACTTCTCACTTGTTTACATTCCACTCGTAAAAATATGTGCCCTATAGTGACATATCTAGTTTGGCCTTATCGCACCTGCTATTAACTCCGACCTCCTCTCCTTTGATCGGCTAGTCCTACTCGGGTATTCATCGTGATCTCGTAGATCCATCCCTTATCTTTCTGGTCGACTGATTTCATTCGGTTTCAGTCCCATTGTGCATTTCAAACCAAGCGCTATTTCTCATGGCCCCAGAAAGATTAAGAACGGATCTACGAGACCATGAGAGAGATCCGAATAGGAGGCCGGAGTAGGATTAGCCGATCAAAGGAAAGGGGTTCAGGGTGAATAAAAAATGTGATGAGGTCACAATAGATTTGCCACAAAAGGGCACAAATTTTGACGAGTGGAATGTAAACATGTCATAAGTTGTGATAGGGCGGAAGTGGATAAGAGAGTAAAAAGTTGATAAATTGTTCAAATTCTTGACACATCAAAAGCCTACACACAGGAGCAGATTTTCGTGAAAACGAATGAACAATTAGCCCTTCAGGCGGACAAAGGAGGGGTTACAGTGATAATGGAGAAAAACTATACCGATAAGATGGAACATATTCTACGAGACAGGACTACATATCGTATACTAAACAAGGACCTATGAAAATCAATAAAATCTTAAGTAACATGCTGAAAGATATGTATATGAATGGGGAAATTGACGCATGGACAAGAAATTCAATCACGACCACCAACAGCCTACGGATTGCCGAAGGAAGGCGAGCCACTAAGGCTAATTGTCAACAATATGAGATGTATTCACCCAAGTTCGTTTAAGGTGATGAAGGACTGGTAGAAAAAGAATTTTCCCACAATGATATGAGTAGAGCTGACGTTTCCATTGAATTTCACATAGTTAGCTTTCCCAAAAGTTGTTCTCATCCAGGGTGGACTGCAGTTTCGACCTCGCATCGGTCTTATCAACAC